TAGGCTGAAGAGGATCGAGCCACTGACAACCAATGACAATACTCTTGAAGCTCACCCCACTCGGTGGTCAGCGAAAGGCCACTCCAGGTCAAGCTTCGCCCTCTAATAACCCCATAGTGCAGAGGAGGGGAAGGAGTTAAAACTGATCGCAATTAAACACTAATTTTAAATATCGTTGAACATCCAACTGAAACACTCCTTTTGTGACAGAGCCAGATGAACACTCGAAAAGGAATGTCAAGACACACAAGTTGTAAAAGTAATTGTAGCTTACAGCTGCTGACTATTAGGTGGGACCTACTTTAATGTTAATTAAAACAGACAAGGAACAGCATAATTCCGACAAAAACGGACAGAAAAAGAGCCTTTTGCTATATGTAGTAACACTCTGTGTCTAGTAAGCAGCATCACCGACATTATGAAAGAATTAAGTGAAGTAACCGACCCTCCCTGTCCTGAAGGCATCACCGTACACTCAGTGTGATTCACTTCTAGGTGAATCACAACTCCAATACACGTCACACATGCCTGTATATTTATAAAAAAGAAAATCTGGCAGTCCTTCGGATAAGGTGAATAAAAGTTGGTGATGAAAATTCTGTTTCCCAGAAATCCTGACTTTTTTGTGGGTTTTTTTCATTCATGGTGCATTTCAGTTCACTGGGAAAAAATGGTTAATAAGACAAAAAAAAAACATTTCTGTATAATAAAAGCACACATGTCATGCATTTCTCTCTATAAGTCCAAGCGCTGATAAATGACTTCAGAGACTTTGTTTTTCCTCTTATATGATTTGAATTGATAACAGAAAAGGCTAAATGGTTTCCCGGTGTGCGCGGTTAAATGCAAATGTCCTGGCACACCTGTGTTTCAATAAAGGCAACACGGTGCGATAAACAAAACCCACCGTACACACATTTCCATGGCAACAATAAGTACCCATTTTGGACGAAAATTGCTATAAATCCTCAAAATACATGAATAAACTGTGATTTTATATCAAGAAATTGCCCACATTCACTGTGGGCATCAACGCTTCTACTTGTGTCACATCATGTTCAAAACCCGCACAAAGCTATAAATCAAAGCGCAAAACAGCAATCTTCCAGAATAGTCCATCGTGAAAACAAGCTAACCTGTGGGGGGCAAATTCAGCCTCGCTATAAACCGGCTATCTGACAATGGGTGAAGAGCGGGATGACAGACGAAATGATGACAAAAGCCGCCACGTTGTGGGCACAGCTTCTGAGGACGGTTGGGAAGTTGATTAACGTTAGCCGCGCCGAGGATGTAGCTGGAAGCTGCTCACGTATTGACCGCACAAATTAACACTAACACAAATCAACAAAGGGATAAAGGCGGTAATAAGATTACGGTGGCAAGCAAGAGAGTGATACCCCCCTGCTTAACTCGCAGGCTTGAGGCATTCTTACCTTCCGTGGAGGAAAACCCGGTCAGTCGTGTCTCAGCCCAGAAATGACCGAAAGTTACCTTTTCGGTGGGACCTAGAAACCCGGAACTGCTACGTCATCTGATTCCATATTTCTCGACCAATGAGCGTTCAGAGCGGATTTGCCCCACTGTTTTTTTTTTTCTTCTTCTTTCCCTTACGTCCGTTAGATGACAAATATCTAAGAGGATGTCGGTTACGCAAATGCCCGTGTTTTCACATTTTATTGACATTACAGCGTCTGCAGTCGTTCTTTCATCATTGTACTGGGTATCAATGTGGCTCATTTAATGAAAAATGTGTATTTATTTTGGCAACATATCGATCAAATGTCTGGTGATGTCACCGTATTTCCGCTTTCAGTGCCCTAGATCTACATTGTTGTTATTATTATGTAGATATTTCATATTTATATATATAGGCAGCTAATATTTCTGGTGTAAGTCCTCCTCCAGGCATGCTTTAACCTAAATATTTGTTTCCATACTTACACTAGATGACAAATATCTTAGAGGATGTTATGTACTATGCAGATGTCCCTGTTTTCACATTTTATTGACATTACAGCTTCTGCACTTGTTCTTTTGCAATATTTTGCTTTAAAAAAAGCAACTGGTGTGAGATATTTCTTTTAAACATACATTAAATCCAGGATTTATCAATCTGAAAATATTCTTGCTTCAAAAAGGTAATGATGGACCTAACGTAGTTTGCTTTTTTTCACTAAAATGTTCCACACAAGCAACTGGACAAGACCTTTTGAGCTCCTACAAACACAGAGGCGAGCTGTGCACCTCTGGTCGTCCATTTCAAACGCTAAAATGCTACATTTGCCCTGTCACTGTTGCAGTGAGTCTAAATCAGAGCACATCCAGCCAATCTGTTCAAGGCCACGTAAGAGAATCACACCATGCATGCAATATCACTGTACATCAACAAAAACAATGTATTCGCGGCCATGTCGCCCTCTAGTGGCGGGAAATGGGATTCACTTTTTCATACTTAGAATAGAATAGAATAGATAGATAGATAGATAGATAGATAGATAGATAGATAGATAGATAGATAGATAGATAGATAGATAGATACTTTATTCATCTCCAAGAGAAATTTACAGTTCCAGCAGCTTCCAAGAAGGGAACACAGGGGCATGCAGTGTTCTAGTACAATATAGAATAGAATAGAAAGACTTTATTAATCCCCAAGGGGAAATTTGATTGTTACAGCACAAAGAGTAAAGTAACCCCCACTCATTTATATAGATAAATAAGCAAAAATAAACGACAAAAAATACAAAATGTACAATAAATGTAATATGTCTAATTAGAAAAGTCCTGTGTGAAGTGTACTGCAGATAATGTGCAACAAAAGGGAGGAACGAAGTGTGCACCACACATTCAGAAAATCTTTTCAAGCAGCACCTCCTTATCTCTGGATAATTTGTTTATTTATTTAGTTTTCCTCAAATATATTTATTAACAAAACCTGTGTGTAATGCCATACAATAGCTATAGTTTTTGTTTTTTTAAAAAATTAATTTTGTTAATAAAAATCTGATATTATTCTGATGTAATTGCTTTGTGGGCATAAGGGGAATAACACCAAATAGGGTAAGTAATACAACAAACGCAACTAAAATATCACCAAATTAATAACTAATAATAATAATAAAAATCTAAATACTAAAGTGATCAACGTCAAATAGACCAAAGAAGTTTTTTTGTTTGTTTGTTTGTTTTTAAAGATAAGGTTAATTGTTTACACAAAAAAGGGGGCCATTAAACAGAGATGACCATGACCTCCAGGTGCTGATGAAATCCATCGGAGACCTACAGCAGCTGCGACTGGGGCTTCGTGGGAAACGTGCCGAGTTTTGTCCAACACTGAAGCCCATATAGGGGGCAGTATTGTCAAGTCAAGGACGAGCATGAGGTGGAGAAGCGCCTGTTTTGTGAACCAGAGGAGCCCTGTTGTGCATTTTTCCAAACATTGGCCCCATTCTGAAACTCGTGCCAGTGACACTCATTTAACCCTAAGAGCAGTTCTGGATGACATTATAAAGAAAAGCTACATATATGAGTTTTGAGGCTTGTTTTCAATGAAGACGACAGAGACCAGATCTATTCCTCAGTATACAACTTTTCTGAATGTGGCCTTCTGAACATAGCATCAGGGGCCTTATAAAACTCAGGTTATAACTGGATGTTGAGAGAATGAGATCTGAATCTTAGAAGCATTTCTGCTAAATAACAGTTTATCTTTTTGTTAACATTTTAGAGTTTGCACATGTTTTCAAACTGCAACCCCCTTGTTGAGTTTCATCTGCTTGTTTTTCTTGACAAGCTACTAAGTTAAACTTGCTTTTTTATTTTACATTTTGGAGATTTTTGTATGTCGTAAATGTTACAATTTAATGTGTTTTAAGTTCCCACGTTGCTCTGTTTCTTCCTTTTAAGAACATTTCAAGTACAGACAAACAAAGCATCTTTTCATGTCCAATTCATCACAGTTATTGAGCTTAGAGTTGAGCGGGAATATAACCAATTACAAAAATGGGCAAAAAAACAACAATTACATTACAAATAAAAACAGAAAAACGTGTTTTTTGTACTTACATCTTTATGATCTTAAACATATCTAGTAATAAATACAATGGAGGGGTGTTTTTCTCTTTTACTAGGTCCCACTTGTAAAAGAGGTTTTTGATCTCAGTGGGTTTATATACTAGATAAGATAAGATAAGATAAGACAAGACAAGATAAGATAAGACTTTATTAATCCCAAAGAACTTCTTTTTCCAAATATCACTCAGAAAACAAAATTACATAACATGAGAAATGCAGTACTGAGTTGAAAACAATAAGATTTAAGTACTGTACATTACATTACTGAATATTAAAATAAGTATGCAAAAATAAGACAATTTAACACTAACGCTTGCAATGACATTGAGGTAGTAAAGTATCGCACATGATGATTAAATATTTTAACCCTCCTATTACCTTCAAATTTACTGACATCTTTTATCCTTGGGTTCAGTTTGACCCCAGCAGTTTAAACCTCCTGAAAACTATCATAATTAAAACTGCTACTCAAGTTTATTTGTAAACAGCCCTTTAAATAAAAGTGAAAAAAATATATCAGTGGGGTCAAATTGACTCCAAAGATAATAGGAGGGTTAAATCAAACATCTTCTTTTTTATTTTTTATTTTTTTTTAACAAATGATTATGAAATATGACCCATTAAATTTAAATATTACACACGAACCTGTAATGTTGCACCAGAAAAATAAAATATTGCACATTACACTGATAATAACAGAAAATAAACGTTTAAGTGTCAAGCTTCGGATTGCTTTCATATGTTGTGTAAAACTATTAAATCGAATATTTAATTGTTTTGTGAACTTCAGTTGTCATCACTTGATGAGGAAATATTTTTTTTTCTTGCGTCATTGCCGTCACCGCTCACCCGGAGTGTCCCCGACGAGAAAACATTCGCACCGCGCAGCCTCTGACCCACGTGTCTCAGCGCTGCTGCACAAAAACATCACGGGTGGCTGCTGCAGCTGTGAGGGCTACAAATACAGCACATGGTAGCGTTTGGTAGCTGCTTGTAGCGACGGACACCAGCGGGCCTCTTACTCCGAGCTTGTCTGCAGTTTAGAAGTTCAACTTGTGCAACTTTTGCGTCGTTGACTTTCAGCTACAGCTAAAACTTTGCGCGCTTTACAGCCAGTGTCGGTGCACAGGGCTGAGCTAAAGCCAGTTTGAGGGCTTTGATAAAAAAAAACTTGTCCCACTCAGCTTCCCGCAGCTACACACCACAGCTAGCATGTCGTCCAGTACGAATCAAGTGAAAAGCTGCCCCATCCCCACCAAGGTGCTCACCCTGAAGGACTGGTCCCAGCTACCGGACTGCTACAGCCAGACTCCCGGGGGGACGCTCTTCTCCACCACACCTGGAGGTAAGAAAAGTTTGCCAAGAAACCTTTTTTTTTTTCTTTTTGAGACACCATTATTTCATGTTTATTCTGCTTGTGTTCGCCAAATTTCCCTTCAGGACTTTGCCAAAAAAAACAAACGAAACAAAACTTAGTTGGCTTTAAACTGAACGGTTTGGTGCAAACACTTAGAGCTCAAAGATAAGATCTCGCGATACCCTGCGGACAATACACATGCATGTAAAAGCTGATAAAGGTTTTAATACTAGTTTGCCTTCACAGTAATAAAGCGTCATTTAAAAACTACTTCAAGAGGAAAAACAAACAGGATAAAGTTGGATAAATGCATTGTTGCTCTCTGCAGAGTCAGATTTGACTTCAGCCCTCGTGTTGTCAACAAGTTTGTTGCCAGGTATCGATTTGGCAAAGTGAACTTCATGAACCAAACATTGCATCCAACAAGCACCCTTCCACCAACAAAGAGTGTGGACTCTGCTCAGTAGCTTCCGCTCTTGTTTTCATAGTTTACCAAATTCTAATATCCTATCACAGGCCTGTGTGCGTGTCTTTTGTTATTGCTGATGACATCTTTTGCTCGTTGGCACATCAACGCATGTCAGATGAGAGCAACGTTTAGCACACAATGAGGGCTGATCAAACAGTCACTTGTTGCTGCATCAAAACACGGATGTCTGAAGACAACAAGAGCTGTCTAACCCGTGACTCGGAGAGGGTGTCAGCTGCCAGAACAGAGAAGCGATTGGCCTCTGCAGTGGTGGAGGATATGGAGGCCGTCCTATCCCCGCCACGCTCTGCTCTGCATTTGAGGAACAGTAGAGAACATTCTGTTCAAGTTAAGGCGGGGGGGAGGGAGAGGGAATGTCTAATGCATGGCGAGTATATATATATTTGTTAATTCGTGCCAATGGTAAACACGGTGAAGGAAGTTGCAACACAGAGTTCTCGCTTGCATTCCACTTTATAAGCAACACATTGTAGTCTACGCTCTGCTGGGGTGTCGGAGCACGTGTTGATGGACCGACCCCGTTTATTTTTACATAACTGCTCCACGCAGTGACGCTCACTTGCAATGCATTGCTTGGGCCATAGGTTGCATTCCAGTCCCCCTTTTCCCTGCCCCAGTTCTTTCTGTCATCCCCCCTCTGCTTTGCTTCCCTTTGTCCAGCGTGAACTGCTCACTACTCAGGTGTTACATAACATGTTTTTCCTTTTTGGAATGGGAGAACTTGCACTGCACATAAGGGTTCAAACTCCAGGAAAGAACGTGGTCATGTCCTGGTCAAACTTGTCGCAACAAGCAGTTTATGATGCTGTTTTTTTTTTTTTTTGCTGGTTGAAATGGTGACTCAAGATGTGGCAAGTGGGAGGGTTTTAGCTGATGACATGTTGCTGATGTGGGGACATAAACTCGAGGAATCCTTGGATGCATACATGTTGCATCTGCCTTCAATGTTGAAGCTTTTACCCAGTCGAAGCACGTGGCTTTAATCTCACAGGCTTCAGAGAGAGAGAGAGAGAGAGAGAATGTTTTGTACTCTGATTTCCTAGAACTCATTGCTGTTGCAGCCTTCATCCCTCCCCTCTCTGTGCACACACACACCTCTCCTTTTACCACTCAAATCCTCTCCAGTACAGGACAATAATGACGCTTAACTCCCCAGATGTGCAAAATGTGCTCCAGTAATAATCAGCCTCCTGTTTAATCCTGTAAAATAGTTAGTCTTAAACCTATTTTCCCCCCCTCAATCGCAGGTACTCGCATCATCTATGACAGGAAGTTTCTCTTGGACTGTCGGAACTCCCCTCTGGCCCGGACCCCCCCATGCTGTCTGCCCCAGATCCCAGGGGTAACGGTACCGGCCACACACCCCATGGGCAAATTGCAGGATCTCAAAGAAGAGGCAGAGGAGGAAGAGAAGGACATTGCAGGTAGATGACCCCTGTTTTTAGTTCTTGTTAGTCTGACTAGTTGGTCACAGAAACGCACACATTTCCAAGTGCGCATACAGTGTAAACACATAAAAACCGGTGTTGCTGGATTGAGCAACTTTGTCAATTCGTATCACACAGCCAGACAAATATCGATGCCTCATTCATAAAGGGCTCCTCCGACTTTATTTCACAATGAACTGGCAGGTCTTGAGCCTTTGTCCTCACCGTGACTCTTCGTTTTACATTGTCCTGAGTCGTTACCCAGCTTGTGCAAATACAGGTGCAGCATGCTGGTCTTGCAGTGCTGACATTTTTTCAGCAGCACAGCAGTTGTTCTATGTGTTAGTTTAGCCTTCCAGAGGATGTGACCTCTTGAGCATAACCAGGATTTTAGCACCTTTAAAACTAGGCCAGAAGCTTATCACTGAGCAAGTGTACAGTGTTTCATACAGTGGTCCAGCTTACAGTGTGTCTGCTGTACATTTGTTTTCCTGAGGACACAAATATCAATAGCTATTCAGCAGTTATACAGTTACAATGCTGACTTCTGTATTTCTGACGACTCTCGGTAGAGATTATGACTTGTGGGAGATATGAAAGCCTTTTTTTGGCAATGCTTCCCTTGTGGGGCTTTTCGGAGGAGTGCGAGCAGAGGTTTGGGCTCGTGGTCAAGTTTAGAGCTATTTATTATTGAGAGAAGTACATGCAACTATCAATCTGTCCGCTTCCATTCCTGCTGTCAAACCAAAGGCGGTGCGGATTAGGGTTGACCCCTTTTTATTACATGTCCTCTGACTGTACTGGTAAACACAGGACATGTCATGGGGTTTGGATTTGCGAGCTACAGCCTTCTGCGGTGAAGTGTTTTTTTTTTTCTTCTCTCTCTCTTTAAACTGTTTTTCTTGACAGTCTTAAATGCATTGATAAGGGCTGTAGTTTGTTCCCTTCTGTGTCGTCCGTTAAGGTGTGGTTGTGCTTGCGGTGCAAACAACAAGTGTTAATTTCCAGCTGATTGTCAAGTATCTCGCTAATCTCAACTGTTTTGTTTGTGTCTTTTCAACAGATGACAGCCAGTTTGAGATGGACATCTGAGCTCCAGTATTACCTCCTGTGGAGAGTTATTAGTTAAAACACCTCCAAGGTCAATAATGACTGTTGTGCATTACATATAAAGCTTTTTTTTCACTTTTTTTTTTTTTTTTAAATTAAAAGCTTTTGTGAGGAAGCAGGAAAGAATGAAGAAGTTAGAAAACAATAGGGTGTTTTTCACCCTAAAAAAAAGTGTTATGCTAAGAAATTGTATCAATTATATTAACTGGGTTGATTGGTCGCTCACTCACTTAAGAGCTGCAGCAGGATTGAAAAAATCCATTTTGATTTCACTTTTTTTATTTTTATCTTTTTGTAAATAAAAAAACTTGTACTATGTAGCCTATTTTTTAAGTTGGGGAATATAAGATGATTACATTAAGACATGTAAAGTAGGGTTTTTTTCAGTTTTGTTTTCTTGTATATCCCCCAGAAAAGGAAGGCTAACTTTCTTTGGGACTGGCAAACAGATGTCTCCATATATTGGGGTCAGAGCCTACTGAAAATCAGCTCCTACTTTGTTTTGTATGGAGGGAGTAATGGAATGTGAAAAAATAAAAAAAATCTAATAAAAGCTGATGAAACTGTTTTAATCGTGTGTGTTTTTCATTTTCTCATTCACCTGTTTAGGACAGTGGCATCGTCTTATCTATGATGTAAAGTGCAATAAATCTATAAAGTTACATAATGTGTTCTTCCATATGCTTTGTCTTTATCTTATCGTAAGGCTGTGTGATGACTTTAAAGGGCTCAGCCATGAACCATTTAAACATCCAGCCTGTGTCTCATAACATTTACAACAAAAGCATTTCGTCATACCTTCAGTTTTTAAATTGTTATTATGGGACGTGTTTCTTTCAGGAGAGACATGTCTCTGTTTTATGACCTGAGACTTTGACCTACAAAACGCTATGTGTGTTCTAGAAATTGCAGACAGTGCAAGTGTCTGGTTAATGTAGAGTATTCCTAGACGGGAGAATGTCACTCATTAGCCACAACATAACAACCACGTATCTAATACTGTGCAAGTCCACCTCATGCTGCCAAAATAAGCTCTGGCCCACAAAGGCATGGACCCGAGAGGTGTGGGGGTGTCCTGTGGTGACACTGGGATGTAGGTTGCGATGTGAGGCCAAGTGTGGCTCTTTGTTATGTTCCTCGAGTTATTCCTAAGGCACTTCTTGTGTCATGTCGTTGCCATTGGGGCTGTTCGTAGTCTGCAGCAATGTTCAGATAGGGGGTCTGTGTTAAAAGTAGCATCCACATGAAGGCCGGGATCCAGCAGAACATTGCACTGTGACGAGATAATCGCTTTCATTCACTTCACTTTGCAGCGGTTGTAATGTTCTGGCTGATCGGTGAGCATTTCAGTGACTGAGCTCTCCTCCCACTGCCTCTTGACACCTTGTGTAAGGGAAAAGCATGTGGCATTAGAAACCTACATATCAAGCGGTTGATGAGTTGCGTAACCGTCTCCTGCATGGGACGGTGTGTTTTTGTGCCCTGGTGGAGGGAACTCCCCTCTCATAGGCGGGCAGGGTTGGCTCATCTGTGTTGAACTGAATAAACAGAGGAGCAGTTGGATTATGCTAAGGTGTTAGCATTAGGGTCAAAACATAAGCACAATTTATGGTAATGGGAGAGGAATGGGAGAAAACAATCACAATCAGAATTATCAATTGTAGTATAATAAAAGTCATATGTGCTCAAAAATGTTCATCATGTCTTCTTACTGATAATATAATGTTCAAGTTCTCTATTCAGGTAATAAAAGCACAAGCTACATGTCTGAATAGAGAACCTGAACATTATATTAAAAGTCATATGTATCTAACAAAGCAGAAGATGCAGCCATGTTTTTTTTGTATATGTGGCAACAGGAGTAAAATCAAAATACACCATTACCACGTTGCTTCAGGACTGAAGGCTACCCAGACCAATGTCCACTTTGCACCCAGCCTCTCCCACTGTATCAGCTGGGTCAGGGTTGGGTATGCTTCCTTGTTCCAGGCGTTGATCTGTAGATTAGGGAGACTGACTGCAGGAGCAGGCTTGGGCTTGAGGAATGAGGGCAGCTGCAGCCCAAAGGCCAGAAACCACACTTACAGTGTGGGGGGTGGGGTCTAACACCTGCTGGTATTTGACCAGGCAGCTATCTCAAATATGTAATTGTGGCTTTATTGAGCATTTATGAGTTATGTTGAGGTAGATATGGTGTAAATATTAGTTTCAGCTCTGATGAGGGCATCGTTTGGATTTGAACACTCTGAACTCTAGGCAGCTCCTTGGCTTTTTCTTCCTCCTGTCACATTTGAGTGTGGGCTCATTTTTTCACGGCAGTTTAAAGTCCAGCACCTCTACGGAAGCATCTCAACCATGGCTAGAAATAGCGAGAACTCAAAATATGTCTTGTGTGTAGTGTGACATGGTTATAATGCTATAAAAACATTTTTAAAAAATACTTTTTAGATTATTTATTTTACAAAAAAGGAAAAAACTACAATTGACATGGTTAACTTTTTTCCAAGTGTTCCCATGTGTTACCAATACTGGAAAGAAATTATTGCTCTCCATGCTATACATAGTATTTTTCAATTTTTTTTGCATTTATATTTTTACAACCTCTACAAACTAGACATTTTTTCACACTACCCTGCACATCAAGTCAACAAAGATATGTCACCATGCTAACTGTGTCTGCCAACAACTTGCTCAAATTGTGCTTCACTGTGTACCGTTTTTTTAATCAAGTATGTTTTATTTTCCTCTCAATTTCTTTAAGTTCTTCTGTAGGTCACAGCTAAGTCAGTCATTGCCTGTTGGTTGCATCAGGAGTACAGCATTTTTATTTATTTTTTTACTGCAATTAGTTTTTTTTGCAAAATTTAAAACAAGAATTACAAAGTGAAAAGATTTTGTGCAAATATCACAGTTTTAAGCTGAGATTCAATTGTATTTCCTAGTTGAATCATCAAGCATGATAACATCAAGAACCTTTAGAAAACTGAAAATCCAATGATTCGTTCTGTTTTTACAGTTTGTAGGTCAAATAAGTTGTTTAATTTTGATGACTTTTTAAAAAGTTAAAATTCTTTTCCTACAAGCAGGTCAACTGCATCCTGTGTAACTGAGTTAACTGGGTTAGTCTGCTCAGACGTGACTGCCATTAAAGCTAACAAGTAGCTTTTGTTTAAGAAACTTCATGATAAGACCGTCAGACTCAGCATTTGGTCCACTGCGGTTCTTTTTAGAAGCATGCAAAGTAAACCAGCTCCGTGCCAGAGTGTTGTCGTGCCCTTCAGCAAATACTGGGCGCAGACAGCAAGATGATAAGATAACTCTTTGCCTAAAGTCAGTGAAATACCGAGTAAGCCCCAGTTTGTGTGCGTTTCTCGGTTTTTGTAAGGCACGTGAGCACGATTGCACGTGAGAGCAAGGCCAGGTGCCAGGTGACATGCTCCCATCAGGCAGGTTTTAGGGATTTCCTTCCTGGCAAAGTAAATATGAAGCTGAAAATATTACTAGAAAGCACTCCACGAACCTCAAAGTCCACGTGTTCATACACTAATGCACTATTATTTGCTGGGACACAGTAAGAAGTTGGTTATTTTGTATCTGGGATGTAAAAATAATGCTTCGATGTCCAGGAAAAAGTATATCGAGGTTGTATTTATCTCAGAAATTTCACTGAAATAAAACTTTTCCACAAACACACTGACTACAATCACACAATGCCCATCTCGTCTGCACGGATGTTCTTCATTTTTTTGAGTGTATAATTATGCCCTCATATCAAAACAGTTTGGCAGCAGTGTGAATGCATTGGCTGGAGTTGGGAGTGCCATAGCTCGTGCATTTGTCAAAAGGCATGTGGCAGCGACACATAAGCTTGTCTTAGTTTCTGCACAAGATATAAATTGCTGAGCTTGGGCCAAAAAAGTCAGCAAACAGGTTTGTTTTGCAGTTTTTTTAAATTCCTATTATATGACGATGAAGAAACATAATAACACATATGTGAGTTGTCAACAAAAAAGAGGATATGTAGCTGAACCTTAACCCTAAACTTGAAAATGGGCCAGTTTTGCTTTTAACCCTGAAATGCTTCATTCTTGTGATTAATCAGTCAGCGGCTATGAAATGTTGCTTTGGAAAACGTCCGGCTTGTAAACAACACCGCAGACGGTCACCCATTCCCCCTGAGTTTCACTGAACCCTGGTCAACTTGCTCCAGTGCCCTTTTCCAAAGACCAAATATTCCCCCTTTTCCTCTCCCCGCCTCCTCCCGCTCCGCCTGGTCCCCTTCCAGTTTCCCCGTTAGAGGGCTGGGCCAGTCGACGAGGCTCTATTTTTGTCAGCAGCTCCCGTTGAAGCCGACGGTACAGGCTCGGGCTGAATCGCCGGGGTGACGATGTAAACAGACACTCAAACAAACAGTCTGCTGGGTGACATGTATCACCGCGGGGGGCCAGGAGTGGACCACATGTTTGGCACATACATGAACACACATGCACAAAATCCACTTCACATTTAGTTTAATATCTACACTGCAGGAGTTCAGCCACTTGTTGTACAGTGACTTGAGCTGAGTACACTATGATACCTAGATTACTGCTACACTTGGAAGATAAATCAGAGACACTGATAGTTTCTTGGATTACATAAGGTTCATCACACCATGTGCATTTTGGTAGTGATTTGTTCTGGTTTGTTTGTTTGTGGGAATTCCAAGTTAAAATTTGAACTGCTCTTCAGAATTGTTCTGCTTTTTGTGCGATAGTTTCGGAATTACACTGCAGGCCGCACTGTGTTGCCATTTCTTTGGCTCAGTCTACTATATAATTCCTCTGCTCTGCTTTATTGCACAATCTCAGATATATATACCTCATACGACTGTGTAAGAGCAGCCCTTTCAAAGCTGCTGCCAAGTTGTTGCTTAATGTACGACCAGTGCTTTTCATCAACATCTTTTTTGAGCATAACTTTGTACTCGCTGTAAACAAAGCTTAGTGTGAATATATTTCAAAGGCCAGCTCTTGATCCTCAGGGACACCACCGGACTACAACTCTGTCTGTTGATATATCTATTGTACATGCTCATTGTGCAAGACTTATCACATGTTGCTACACGGTCTGGAATTACAGAACAGAGACCACTTCCTTTTAAGTTCCACTGTCAATAACAGCTGCCATTGCTACTGCTGGTATGCTACTATATTCATACTGTACCCATGTAATGTTATATCTAACGGAAAGTCTAATATGATGTTTAACAACCATGTGCACCAATGTCCTACCATGACATTGGTGGGCTTACCTATCAAAGTTACTAGAGAGTAATAAGATACACAAAACTATGCAATCAGCTAATAAAATATTACACTTTGCTATGAAGCAGTATGCAATATAGTTAAATTAATCTACTTATGTGCCAGCACATTAGCAATTATTATTATTCTGCTTCATAATGAGTACCTTTGATAGTTGAAGTAAATTCTGCTGATAGTACTTAAACATAATTGTGAATGCAGGGCTTTTGCTTGTAATTAGGTATTTCTCTAGTATCATTAAAGCACTTGCACAACCATCAGTTTTAAGGTTCTGTACATTATCACATAGCAAAATGTATCTATGCCTGTGTTTGCAAGTGTGTGCATGTGTGCCTCACTATGCCTGTGAGCTGTCTAGTCACTGCCCACCCAAAAAAAGCCCCCAGACACTAACGCCGAATTAAAACTCAGCACGTGCAGAGTGGCTCATGAGCCATCACTCTGTCGTGTCATAGCAGGAACTAAGAGGGATCTTCTGTAAACAGTAAAGTAAAGACAGTAGTATGAGGAACTTGTAGCCTAGAATGACTGGCAGATACTTTATTAGGAGGCAGTGAGTCTCTTAATGTTTATACCACATTCTTATTTTATCAAATCTTTAATCAATT